GACTTTTTTCCTGCTTAATAATATGGACAGTGTTCTATTAGTATTTCTTTCCTGAACTTAATAAAGGAGTATGATTTCAGGCCATTTGAATATCCTTTAGAACAGCTCTGAGCCAATTACAGCCCATAAGCCGAATTCAGCACACTGCCTGCTTCTATAAAGAACATTTTATTGGAGCACAGCCATTCTCATCCATGTATGTATTGTCTGTGGCTGCTTTCACACCACAAAGGCAGAGTTGGGTAGTTGTGACAAATATTATGTGACCCACAGTGCTTAAAATACTTAGTCTGACTTTTTACAGAAAAAGTTTGCTAAGCCTGGCTTTAGAGCATTAGGATGGTGACTACGGATTGCCTTACATACCTGTATCCAGGCATCCAGGCTCTCAGGGGGCTCTGCGGCCAGTTTCTGTTTGTGCTCACAATTCATTTACTCAGGCATATTCATTGAGCATATTCACGAGTTTTTTGTTAGGCTCAGCTCTAGATACTGGAGTTGCAAGTTGGGAACAGTGAACAAGGCACAGAAAGTCTCTGCCCTTATGAGGTAGGGGAAAAAGACAACTAACCATGAAGATTTTCCTCTTAAAATAAGTAGATCTTTTTACATTTCAGATTAGACAGTTCATGAATTTGTTAGCAAAATATGATACTGACCTAACTGTCCCCACTATGTTGAGCCTTACGTGTATGGGATGTAGTGCCCATTGTTAAGACTTGCTTTCTTTTTTTAATTTTGTTTTGTTTTTTAACACCTTTATTGTGGTATGATTCCTGTACAGTAAATCACACATATTTCAGATGCACAGTTTGATGAATTTTAATAGATGTACATATCCATGAAACCACCACCACAATCAAGAGAGCTAACATTTCCAAGAGACTTGTTGTCTTTATCAGTAAATTTTATAGATTGCTCTCCCTTTCTGGTTATTTTGGGTTCTCAATCTATATCTAAGATAACTGAAGTTGCATTCCTCACTGTGGATGTTAGGGGCTCAATGGATTTGTAAAATTCGTTGGGTCGCTATGTGTCAGGTTCTCTGTTAGAGAAATTCAATGTTAAAATTAAAAAGAACATACATGATAGCTAACATGCATGTGGCACTCTGATAGTTTATATATATCTCACCTCATTTACTTCTCCTGATAACTCCATGAGTTATGATTGTAACTCCCTTTTTCTAGATGATGAAGCCAAAGTTCAGAGAGGTGAGATGAAACTGTTAAAGGATGGAGCCTGCCCACATTAGCATCTTGGCCTGGGTGACTCCCGGGCAGGAGCTCTTGGCCATGGTGCTGCTTAGTACTTTCTGAGATTTGCAAATGTGCATTTTGAGGTTGGCCTTAACATAAATAGAACTTTAATTTTCCTCATTCCTTTTTCTTTCCTTCTATCTTTTCTTTTCTTCTTCGTTTTGTTTTTGGTTCGGATTATTGACATTTAAACGTACAGGAGATAATTTTTTTCTTTTTTTTTTTTTATGTGTATGTACTTGTATATGTTTCAGATAATAATGTAATCCAGGGAAGTGGAAAAGAAGGAATCTGCAAAGATAAAACCCAAGTAAGCATATCACAGCAAGGAAGAAAGCGATCTATTTCATCAGGAAATTCAGAAGGTACATCAGCAGAGGAAGATGCAGGGAAAAAGTGTAAAAATGCTGGTCAGGAAGAGTCTATCATTTCATCCAAGGTGAGTTTTAAAAATTCGTTACTTGATTGTTTATTTTCTTCATCAAGTGTTCTAGTTAGAAATAATTATATGCTGTATATGTGAAGGAAAAAACCAAAACTGCTTTTTATTATTGAGTTTATCAAAATAAAAACTAGCCCAGGGTTTTGTTTTTGTTTGTTTGTTTGTTTGTTTTTTTACTAATCTTTAATATAGTATTTGCATTGTAGAAAATAAGGCTATTTAATTTAGAAATTTTCAGACTGGAAAAGGGTGGAAACCACGTGACTCTGATCATAATTTGATATCTCCATTTTGAAAACCTGGTTTCTTCTATTCTGTTGGCCATTCTCAAACTGCCTGTCACTACCTTTTTCTTGATACGTATGAAGAGAAGGACTGATGGGTAGTTCTTAACACCCTTTTGCAGGATTACTTCTGGGCTAACTTGCAGTATTTATAAATCTTTTCTTTGCTCTTTCAGTTTTTGCTAATTCACTGGAATGGTTTGATTGACTTAAGCATTCTTTGATACTGGGTACTTAAAGCAAATAAATTCCATTTATTGGATGCATTTAGAGAGAGAGAGAAGGTTAAAAAGAGAGAGGGAGAGATGGCCCTTGGGTGAAAGATCAAGTGTTCTTCATTTCAGAAGAGGGGTGACTTTCGATGACAGTTTTCATGATCCTTGTAAACCTATGGCTAAGCTCTGTGGGTCCCCAGCTTTTTAATCTCAGCAAGAGCCAAAGGAGTAGGATTGGTTTTAGAATAGGATGCACTGGATTGATTGAAATGCCAGCAGCTGGCCCAGAGAGTCAGTCCTTTTACAGTACTCCTCTCACTCCTGCCTCCTGTCCATTTAGGGAAGATTCTGCTTCCTTTCTTCCAGCTAGAGAAGTGGGGTCTAATCACGATACACTCAGCTCCTTTGCTTACTTATGGAGTCACGTTTCGTAAATGAAGACAAAATGTATTCTGATTTCATATATGTTGGCCATAAAAACTTAAGATAAATATAACTTTGAGCCCTAATAGCCTCTACCCTCTAAACATACTGCTGACTTAAAGCAAATAGACTTCCAGATATTTCTCCTGCAAAGATGTGTTTATTTTGGATCAGCAGAGAATTGCAATTCCGAGTCTGCAGTCATGGGTGAGCCACGTGCAAGTTCCTCATGGCTAGGGAAGGAAAATGCTTTTATAGAGGGGAAAAGGCAGTTGGGAGGGCGGTAGTAGAGTCCATGATTTTTCATTGGCTGAGTTTTTGCCAGGACAGAAGAGGAGTCTTTCTTCTTCCTGTTGTGCTCTGCTGTCATCACAGAGCATGAGAGCTCTGCCTTCTTGTCTCCTGACTATTTAATTGAGGTTTCTGTTTATTAATTTTTCACATTTCCCCTTTTGATCAAGGTCATTCTCTGAAAGCATTGCTGATCAAGAGTCATGTTTTCTTGTTTTAGTGGCTTTGTACCTTCATGCCAGGAAGGACCTTTCCTGGGTATGGTGTCTCACATTGGTGGGAAAGTGCACAGCACAGATTGGAAACTTATTGTAGTCACATTCAAGTCCAAGGAGGGGTAGGAGGAAGAACTTTCAGGCATTTTTTAGTCTAAAGTCTGTATGTTATCAAGATTGTAGAGATTAGAGAGCATCTGAAGTGTTGTGTCATCATCAAAGGTTTGGCAGACAAACTTCCAATGGGCCTGGTCTGGATATCTTGGGAAAGCTGTCTCATCAGATATCATCTGCGTCAATTATGGGACATCTTTACTTTCAGGTCATCAGATGATATGCAGGTCCAGTCAGGGTTTGGTGCATTTTTTAGGTGTGTCACATGAATCCAAGAGTCTGTTCCTTAGAGTTTGGTAGCACAAGGGTTGGTTAGCCGTACCTGATAGGGGCCTTTCTAGCGAGGTCGAAGAGAATTCTTCTGGAGGTGTTTTCCAATAGACAAAATATCTGGGTTGCCAGATGTGACGTTTCAGGTCATCATCTCCTGAGAATATAGTGTGAAAAGATTGCTCTAGCCAAAACGTGGTTATTTTTAATGAAGGAATTAGGCCTTTGCAATATTGGAGTGTCTCTTCCTTTATCACTTGTGAGTCAAAAGAGGCAAGAGCCAAGTGCACTGAGCATCCTGTGAGTGTCTTAAAGGGTGAGAGCTTATGCATTCCGAAAGGGGCGGATCTGAGATTTAGAGAGATCAATGGCAATGCATTTGGCCAAGGTGTTTGGAGGGCCTTAACAAATTTTGCCGATCGAGTTATAATAACACCATTAGTGCGTTCAGCTAAACCAGAAGACTGAGGGTGGCAAGCATGGTGAACGGGCTGTGAAACTGGCCAGGCAGCCTGGGCTTGTTGGCGTGCCCAGTCAGTAAAATGTGTTCCTTGATCACCGTGACATTCGAGAGGCGTTCCTCAGGCAGGGATAATCTTTTCTAAAAGGACCTTAACACAGAAAAAGCAGTAGCCTGTCTGCAAGGGAAGCCTATTTGTATGTAAAAACATACAGACCACTAAAAAAACATTTTTATATCCATGAGACAGAACAAGTTATATGAAATCCATCTGCCAGACCTTGAATGGTGCGTTAGGCGGTTTAAATTGGGAGCAGTACAAACAGGCTTCCCTGGCTTGTATTTGGGACAAGTAGGGCAAGTGAGGTAGACACCTTTGGTGGCCTTGTTAATGTTTCCCCATCAATATTGATTCGGGAATGCTATCATTTTGTCAGTAGACCAGTGCTATAGTGCACGTATTGTGGTGAGGAGAGGGGAGTTTAGAGTCTCCAGTCAGGCTGGGTTGTAATTTGGTCCAGACCAGAGCTTTCTCTTTTTATCTAACCAGCGGTTTTTTGAATTTGCAATCTTGTTTTTCGTTTTCTGAGGCCAGTTGTTGGGCTTCTCTAGCCAGTTTTTCTAAGTTATCATTTGGGAAAATGTCCCTTTGGACCGTGGCAGAGGTTTGGCTGCTGTTGGCCCCTTTAAGGGCAGCGTTCCCTGCAGAAATGTCAGCAAGGTGATTTCCCTTAGCTTCCAGAGAGTCAAGTTGAGAATGCCCCGGAATCTTAATAATAGCTACAGTGGTAGGTAAAAGTATTGTATCCAGTAATTCCTGAACATAAGGACCATTTAAAATTTTGTTTCTGTGGGAAGTAAGGGAGCCATGTTGCTTCCACAACATTCCGAAATCATGAACTATTCTGAAAACATATGTGCCCTCAGTATCAGTATTGACAGGTTTGCCCTGGGCTAAGGAACAAGCCCGTGTGACAGCATATAATTCATCCTGTTGGGCCAAAGCAGCCAAGGTGAAGATGTCCCCTCAGCAATGTCAAGGGCAGTTGCAATAGCACACCCAGCACAGTGTTTGCCATCGTCACCTTTTAAATAGTGAATCATCAGTGAGCCACGAGAAGTCAGGGTTGCCAAGAGGTGTTTCCTGTAAATCATCATGAGGAGTCAGGAGGTGATTAGCACAGGGTTAAGCAGTCTTAAGCGACTTCTTTGGTGATAGAAGGGAGCGGAGGGTAGCAGGGTTAAGGTGATTACAGCAGGAGAGAATTAGGTGAGGAGCTCTTAACAGAAGGACTTCGTAGGTGAGGCAGCTGGCTGAGAAATGTTGAGTATGATGGAAGCGCAGAGGGGCTTCTACTGCATGAGGTGCAAAAATCGCTAAAGAGGATCCCACAGTTTCCTTGGTCGCCTTAACGAGAAGCGCAGTAGCCATAATGGCTTTAAGGTAAGCAGGCGATCCCTGTGCCACAGGGCCAGTTGCTGCCTGTCATACGCTGTGGCTTGATGGTGGTCCCCATGGTTTTGGGTAAGCATCCAAAGGGCATTCCCTTCCTTTTCATGTACAAAAAGGGAAAAAGAGAAGCTGATAATTGGGGTCCCCAAGGGCAGGTGGATTCATCAAACTCAACTTTAAGGCCATAAAGGCTATGTTGTTGGATTCTTCCTGTAAAGGTGGGGACACAGTTGTTGCAGTTTGGTAAAGCATACAGAGGTTGCCCATGAGAGAGAGAAGCCTGGAATTCCATGTTGGCGGTAACCAACTAACCCGAGAAAACCTTGCCGTTGGCCCTTGGTTCTGGGCTCGGGGAAACTTAGGGCACCGTGAAGTATCATCACGGAGTACATCTGGGTCTACGTGTAGCTTTTGTTCTGATACCAGATGCCCTAAATGTCGAACCTGGGTTTGGACAAACTGCAGTTTTCCTTTGGTGACCTTATGTCCCTTTAAAGCTAAAAGCTTTAGCAAGTGGATGCTGTCTTCCTGTGAGGGGGCTTGAGAAGGAGAGCGAAGAAGCCAGCCGTCCACGTAGTACAACAAAGTGGAACCTCTAGGGAACTTTCTTTGCAAAGGCATTAAATTAGGTCAATATTTAAGAAGCAAACTGCAGGACTTGTTGCTTAGATCTGGGGGGAAAATGAAAGAAAGAAGTGAAAGTTAGAATTTGAAAGTTCTGGCTGGAATGAGTGGATAGGTTATGTTGGCTAAAACTATGATACACGGTACAGAGGGAGGGCTTCAATTTTGGCGTTTTGAGTTTGAGGAGAATAGGATTTTGAGGAAGAAATGTCTAGCTAGTGGTTGAATATCTGAGTTTGAAGCTCAAGAGTAGAGTTGGGGCCGGAGTTTTGGATTTCTTAGTCCTTACCGTGTGGGTCCTAATGGCATTGATGCAGGGCTTTTAAGGCAACTTAATAGCACAGACAGTCTTTCCAAGGGCAGCTTGGAAACAACAAATTACTTCCCTGAACTTGTATTAGGGGGAACTTTTTTATCCTGTCCTTTGTAGTATATTAAAACTTCAGGTGGTTGAGGGACAGGGGAGGGCTTGTTGGGGCGTTCACAGGGGATTTTAATCGCCTTGATTGTACATTCTGGCCACTTCAAGCACCAAGGTCACCTTCTACCAGCTCCATGCTCCTCCATCCCCTGAGGTGTCTTGCATGTATTTTACAAAATGTAAGGGATCTGGCCTCTTCTGTCATGATCTCTAGCCTCCCACGCTTCAGTCTTCCTGTTTTCATCTAATCTAGGACATAAGCAATGTGGGTGCTGCAAACTACAGAGCTTCTGCCTCCCCCTACTTCTTCCAAGTACAGAGCATCTTCCATCTTTCCTTTTCCCTCATTTGCCAGTTCAGTGACTTGCTCTGGCTCATGAGCTTCGTAACTGGCACAGTACAAATTTATGTCTCAGCAAACTTACAAATTACTGCATGTAATGGATTTTTGGGACTGTTTATAAATAATTGAAACCACAAATGTTAAATTCTTGAATGCCAAGGGTCTACTGAATATCAATATTTCATAGAGTTCCATAAAGAACATTATGAATTCCAGCTTTTGTACCTCTTAAAATATATTAACCCCTGACCCATAGTGTTGATATCTGTGGCTTGATTACTCTTTTCTCTTTTGGAATAAACTGACGTATTAAACGTACTCCTTGTAAAGATATTTAAAAAAAAACAAAACAAACAACCAAATCCTCCTTTACATTTCATGGAAGTAGAGGAGGTTGAAATATGATGCTCTACATTTCATTTCTTTTATTTCATTCCTTTGGTTTTTCATTTTTAAATGGTAATATAGTAGATGCTTGTTGTAAAAAGTTAGAATATTCAGATGCACATGGAGTAAAAAGTGAGAATCTTGATTTGCCTCATCCTGCAGCCCCATTGCCTTACTGATATTTTGGTTTGCCTCTTAAATCTTCTCATTTGGATTTCCACAAGTAAATACTCGCATAGATACATAGGGATTTTTTTAAGCTAGATGAAATCATAGCGTATGTTGTTTAATTTAAAAAATCCTTAGATATACGTAGACCTTCCTCATGCTTTTCAGCCTCTGCACAGTGTTTCACGGTCGGAGCGTATTCTGCTTTGCTTAACTATTTCCCTAGGTGTGCCCTTTTTTCCCTTTAATAAATGTGACGGGACACTGAGTGGGCCGTTTCTCAGCCCACTGTCCCCAAACTGTTGTTGAGGCCCAAAGCTGGAGGCTTACATTAATTGGTAGAAGTATCTTACGTTTGAAAGGAGCCCCCAGCAGTGAGACCAGACCTTTCCCCGTGGGGCTGATTGAAAGGTATGAGACATACGCACATTCCCAGCCCCGGGCTTTATGCAGAGAGAACCGAGAGCCCAGAAGGTTTTAACACTGGGGAGAGTGCTGTGCTTGTGGGAAGAAGTTAAGAGACTCTAAGAGAATTTATTGTGGAGTTTCGAGATGCTGACAGGAGCAAGAGACTGACATTTTATTGGACAACTTAGCCGGTGGATTTGCTGACCTACCGCATTGCTTCCTCTACGGGGAAAAGACAGTTGGTGCGAGCTGACCCAGTGGGGGTCCGCCAGGTGGGGACGTGGGTCGGGATTGCTCTGTTCCCACCCCACAGTTCCAGTTCCTGGCGTGTGTTAGTTGGTCCCGTAGCAAAGGGAGGTGGGATCGGGGTGCAGCTGAGCAGCTTGGGAGAAAAGAATGTGTATGTTAGAAGGATGTGGCATGAATGCCACCAGCTGAGGGCCAGCTCCAAGAGGTAGCCACATGATTGCTTTTCCCCCAGGTTACCTGTTACTCTGCAAGAGCCGTGATTAGACCTAGGTTCTTTCTGCCAGGTCTTTTGTCAGTTTGGATGACATTTTCAAGTTGCATACTGTGTTTCTTAAAAAAGAAAAAACTTACCAAAACATCTAAGTAATTAGCTGAAAAGAAGTCATGCTAAAAATAATATCTTCTCAAGAAATTTGAGCTATTGGATATTAAATAATAGTAAAACCAGCTATTTTCCTGAAGACAGCCAGCGTACATGAGTTCTTAGTTACATGTAGGGGTGAACATTCACGTATATCTGGTATGTTGTCATCACAGCCTAGAAATTGTTACTGGAACGACTGGGGTTTATCTGAGCAATGTTCCCGCTCCACAGGAAGGAGGGATAATTAAGAGGTTATTTTTAATAGGATGAGACCAGGCTTATTCTTTGTACTGGTAATAAGTATGCATTAAAAAGTTTTTGCAGTGCTAATGAGAATATTTACTTGACTTGGAATACTTTTAATTGGTTAAACTGAAACTGTTGTTCATACCACTTCAGAGGAATCATGTTTATTTTCTAAGTCTGTCATAGCTTCATGCAAATTTTCCTGTGAGGGAGGAGCAATTATTTAGCTACAGGGAAAAAATCATGATTATATTTAAAGGGTAGAAATAAAGTATTACAGTAACATAAAAAATTGTAAGGACAGTGCATGGGATTTTTAATAACTTTCAAATGTGAATCTTAAAGTTTTAAAATATGTATATTGCGTGAGTGAACCTCGTAGTTTCATGCTTTTATGCTAAAATTTACATATTTCTTTTGAAACTCACTTTATTATTTATTTTTCCAACTTGTCTGATAGGAAGTGCCACAGTCATGTTCTGCAGCCACGTTACATAGCACAGAAGTGAATAGCGTGAAAACTGGTACACAGAGAAACAAAATCCCAACAGAGGAGCTTGGTAAGGCTTCTGAGCATAAACTCATCACTAAAGGAACACGAAATAAGGATGACGAGACGAGGAGCTGTTCTGAGAGCTGTTCGAGTGCCCAGGGCAAGTCCTTCCGTGACGGGTCTCAAAGATCTCATCCTCAGTCCGGCTCTGGTCCCTGCAGTCCTGAAACTTCGCACACAAACGCAGAGACAACCGATGCAGTTCCACGTGGCTCTGAGGAGCACAAGGTCAAGCGGACATCCTGCATATACGGGGCAAACTGCTACAGGTAAAATGAAATCACAGGTGGCATATAATTCTGTTATTTCAACAGTAGGTAACTATGTAGGTGTAAACTGTGAGTGTTAAAAGCCTGGTAAAGCCCGTTGGCCTCAAGGCTAGGAGCTTCATCATGTTTCTGCTGGTTTGCACTTTGTCAGCATGCAGTCTAGCGAGCCTGCTGGAGGCTTTTAAAATCTGGTGTGGAATTATGGGTGTTTCATATGTTAATGTACTGTGCAACGCAAAGCTCTGAACTGGGGAATCCAGGCTTGAAAACAGCATCACTCAGTCCTGAATACCTGCTTATTGAATGTCTTATTTAGCTGCTAGAAAGATGGCTTCATACACAGTCAATGTATGCAGTATCACTGCCAAGAGAATTCCAGGTTGTGTTTGCGCATCTTATTACTCTGTGCATTTTCCTTTATGTTTTTCTAATGGTGCTTTTGAATCTCCATGACGCCTTCTCAGACAACCGGGTTGATGGGTTACCTACCCCTGTACTGAACTTCATTTGATTACATTGCACCGTATTTTCTAATTTCGTATTATCTCTCTAAAATGCAGTGCCATAGTAACACTTGAATAACCTATTTTTCCATTTCAACAGCTGTAACGTATGCATTTATTCCCAACTTTGTCTGTTTGCAAGGGCTTTATTTCCACGTGTAGAACACAATGTAGAAAGTTGTGGAATGGAAGTATATAAACTTCCTGTTACTTTGGGTTTTTGAAAAATCCTGTTTGGTGTTTGTCTTACTTAGTTCACTAGAGCTGCCATAACAAGATGCCACAGCCCGGGTGGTTTAACAACTGGAGTTTATTATCTCACAGTTGTAGCAGCTGGAAGCCTAAGATCAAGGTGTCGGCAGGTTTGGCTTCTCCTGCGGCCTTGGCTGTCTGTCTCCTTGGCTTGCGGATGGCACCTTCTCATTGTGTCCCCGTGTGGCCTTTTCTCTGTGCATGCAGCCCTCGTGTGTCTTCCTCATCTTACAGGGACACCAGTCACTTTGGATTAAGGCTGTCCCTTTAGGACCTTGTTTAATCTGAATTATCTCTTTAAAGGCCCTGTCTCCAAATATAGTCACAGGAGGGGTTAGGGCTTCAATGTATAAATTGATGGGGAGGGGGGAACACAATTCAGTCCATAACAGTGTTCAGCACTGGCATTTATCTTTATTAAATGTTTTATCAAGTTCATAATGACTTCATTCATATTTGATGATGATACACGTTACTCATTCATAGCTTATTAATAGTTATCTTACTTTTTTCACTCATTTTGATATACATATTTAATACCTGGGAAATATTTGCCACTGAAATCTTGAAAACAAAATGTTTATGTATGTAACAAAGGGAAAAAAGTAACCTATATTGAGTTCTTGTTATCTGTGTACATCATAACAACCATTTACATGCATCTTTTCTCCCGCCTCGGTGACACTGCATTCGCTCATGCCAGGACAGGTGAATGATCTCCCAAGTCTCTACCCTTTCCTTCAAGTTCATATTCCTTCCGCATTGTTGCCTGAGTGATCTGGCTAAGAAAATAAAAACAAAGATAAAAAAGAAGAGAAGAAAGACCAAAACAAAACAAAACAACAAAAACAAAACAAAAAACCAACCTGACAACATTACCCTCCCGTGCAGAATGTTTCAGTATCTGACGGCTGGGTTTCTCAGCCTAATGCGGAAGGCCCCGAACTCCCAGTTCATTGTTGGGCTGCACCGTGCCATCAAGCTGTTGTATGTCCTTTGGACAAACTGTCCCCTTTCTCTCACTCCCTCCCTGCTTAAAGACCCTGCTTACATTCAACTCCTTTCTGACATGCCCTTCCTTCCTGCTCGTCACCTAATCTATGCAACTTTTTGCCTCATACAGTTTCTGATATTTGATATTAGATCTAATATTTAATATCTAATCATTGATTTCTAATTATTTATTTGTATGTTCTGCCTTGTAATAAGAAATTATTCCTCAAGAGTAGTCATAGTCTGTCCCTTGTTGTCATGCTGTTGACTCCCAAGTCTGTGTCTCCAATGCAGATTTCTGTACTGAATTTTAGATCCAGGTAATCAGCACTTGTCTCACAGGCACTTCAAATGCAACCTGTCTAAAGCAGTCACGTCTTATTTCGATCCTGTGTGAAACAAAATAACAACAAAATAGCATTTAACTTTGTAGAAACCGCTGCTTCCAAAAAACTCCTTGAAAGATGTACTCTTTTGGGCTCATACAGTTTTTCTGTTTAATAGCATATGGTTCCATTAGTAAACTGGTTTTAAACATGGGACAGAAGTAGAAATATCTCTTTTTAGCATATAAGAAATTTATACCTTTATTAAAACTTGTAGCTTTTGTCGACATAAGGTCATATAAATTATCTGAGTTAATAGTATATACAATAAGGCTTTCATTCTCTGATAAAGGTGAAGTGTCTCATTGAGGATCAAACCTCCCTCTGAAAACAGCTAGCAAAGCTGAACACCCATGTTTGAGAACATCAGAGGCAGTCAAGACGTTGAGGCTTATTTTCCCCTTGTGACATTTGCTGATATTTCAGTATTTCAGGCGAGAGCTTTGAGGACAGGCAGAGCTTTGGGCAGTCTCATGGAACTTTGGCAAGACAAACGGAGCTCACTGTTTCTAAGTAGGAGGGGCCTCATTTGGGAGTATAGACATTCGGGAGGGAAAATAGCATAATAAAATTGAATATTGATTATATAAAGCAGTAATAACTTCCATATAAAATTTTTTGTGAAATTAACATATATGGAAATAGCCCAGAAGTGGTTGGAGATTAAAGCAAGTCAGTTTTGACTACTCTAGTTACATTACGTAAGTTGGAAGAATACAGTTTTTGTTACTTAGTGACTGGCTTATTTTACTTATTCGGTCTTCAAGGTTCATCCATATTGTAGCGTGTGTCAGAATTTCCTTCCTCTTTAAGGCTGAATAATACTCCATTATATGTGTATATCATTTTTTGTTTATCCATTCTTCTGTCAATGGACATTTGGGTTGCTTCCATCTCTTGGCTATTGTGAATATTGCTGCTGTGAACACAAATAACTCTTTGAGATCCTGCTTTCAATTATTTTGAGTATATGCCCCGAAGTAGAACTGCTGGGTTGTATGTTAATTTCTAATTTTTTGAGGAACCATCATACTGTTTTCCATAACCGTGGTACTATTTTATATTTCTGCCAGCAAAACACAAGGGTTACAATCTCTCCACATCTTTGCCAACACTTGTTATTTTCTGTATTTTTTTTATAGTGGCCGTTTTAATAGGTATGAAGTATGATAACATCACTGCATTTTTGATTTGCATTTCCCTAAAGATTAATGATGTC